GGGCATGTGGGGTTGGGGTGTGGGGGGGGCTCTGAAGGTGTTCAGGGAAGGGAAGGTGCTGGGAGGGGAGTCCGGGATAGATCCGGGAGGCGGGTCTGTCTGAATGCTCATGAGGCAGTCACCACTGTGAAGCATCTCACAAGTAATTCAAAGAGATTGGGAAGAGGGTCAGGAATGAAACCCACTCATCCCTGAATTCTCCATCATCACCCTGCCCTGTAACCGCGGATCCCCCCCATGCTGCACCCAGTCTCCTGTTGCACCCACTGGACCCTCACCCCTGCTACAGGGGATGATGTTTCAAATGTTATGTCTTCAGCTCCCTGTGCCTTGCTGTGTGCCTGGGTGGACCTTAGCATAGTAATTCTGTGAAAACCTAATTGCCATGCTAGCCCCAGGTCTATTGAGTCGAGTATGCTCTCTGGGACAATGCCACCAAGTGTTTCAGAGAAATATACAAGAATGTTGCTGTCTCCAGATGTTTGGTAATCTACCCCATTGCAAGTCTCATGCTGTGCCCTAACACTTAACAGTCTATTGTGTTCAAGACCTGACGTGTGAGGGGGGCACCCTTCCAAAACTCTCGTTTGCATTAACTGTTAGAGCTCTGGATAGTTTGTATCCATATAAATGTTTGACTTCTTTTAAATTCTACTTAGTTCATTTGAGTTTTGCAAGTTCTAATTTCAAGTGTTTCAAATTCCCTTACCTGTGCTACAAAAAAAAATTCCCCTTTTTGTGCATTAGTAATAGTAATTGTGTATTGGCACCCTCAAAAAATGAGGAGTACAGGATCTGCCGAAAAAGCTCCCTGCTATCGGCAGAGCTGTGGCTAGACTTCACTTTCACTTTCGAAAGGGCTCGTGATTGGCACAGCACCCCAACGTAAATCTTGGGCTCATTTGCACTTTCGAAGTGCCTAATCTACATCCCTCTGTCGGCAGAACGGTGTAGTGTAGACACACCCTAACAGGAAAAACTTAAACAAATAGTCTAGTAGGACCTTAAAGACTAACAAAACATGTAGGTGGTATAATGAGAAGTAGGTTGCGCCCACAAAAGCGCATGATATCATCTACATGTTTTGTTAGACATTAGTTTAGCTACATCTTTCAGGGATGTGAGAAATCCACACCCTTGAAAGGTGTACATATACCAACCTAAACCCTACTGTAGACAACACCAAGTCAATGGAAGAATTTTTCCATCCACCCCTCTCAAAGGCAGATGGAGTAGCTACATTGGCAGGCATAGGCAGTGTCTACACTGAAACACTACAAAATCATACCTCTCTATTCGTACATGCATGCACACAAACCCCAAGTCATATACAACTAATCTGGGTTACTTGATTTTAGTACAGGCAGTCCCCGAGTTACGCGGATCCGACTTGTGTCGGATCCGCAGTTACGAACGGGGCCCTCCCTCTCCCTGGTCTCCAGCAGACCAGGGAGAGGAAGCAAAGCGGCAGAACACGCGGGCAGCGGACAGGGCTGTCCGCTGCCCATGTGCTCCTCGGCTTGGCTCTGCTTTGCTCTGCTTTGCCCCCCCGTCCTCCTGGTCTGCAGACCAGGGGGACGGGGGGGGCAAAGCAGAGCAAAGCAGAGCCAAGCCGCGGAGCACGCGGGCAGTGGAAATGGAGCAACAAAGCAGCCCCACGCCTGCTCTGCCCCAGGCGTCCCCAAGAGCAGCTGGGTTGCTGCCGCATTGGTCTCGCAGTGCCAAGGGGCGGTGCTTCCGGACCAACTCGGCAGCACCCCAGCTGCTCTGTCGCCGGCATCCCCGCT